CGCCACATACACACATAGCTGTTAGTGAGAAGTTCCCCCTCTCTGCCTCCTGCGCCCTGACTACCTCCTCTTCTCAGCCCCAACAGGAAGGAGTCAGAATCCCCCGGCAAAACTGGGGCAGAAACAGGTGTGAAGAGGTGACTCAATCCACAGTTTTGGGTGAAAGAGAACCTTCCGCATGGAGGTGGTCAGGAAAGGAGGGCCCCACGCATCCGTGTGCTTGGGCTAATTAGCCAGATTCCGTCTTCCTCTGGGCACTGCAGCCTCGCTGGGACCCACTCACCCCCGGGCCAGGACCCCGGTACCGGCACAACCCATGTGGCGGTACCTGCAGGGCCCGGCAAAGTGCGCGGGCCCTGGAGTTGGAGCCCACAGACAGGGCAGCCACCAGCTGCGGACAAGGAGCCGGGAGGTGAGAACCCAGCTGTGCCCAGCTCAGCAGCTCTAGGGACCGCCCCGCACTGCCCTCACTTCCTCAGTGTGTGTGTGTGTGTGTGTGTGTGTACAGGGGGGTGGGGAGCAGCACGAACCACTGAGGAAATGGGGAGTCAGCAGCTTCTGCCGGAAGGAGTGGGGGCTGCGGAGGGGAGAGAAGGGAAAGGAAGAAAAGGAGGAGCTTCCTGGCCGGGGAAGTCACCTAAGAGGCCTCCCTCTGAGCCCCCCGGGAAGCCCACCGTGGGGCCCGGACGCCCCAGCCGGGGAACTGGCACGAGGAGAAGGGCCCTGCCCTCGCCATTGGGTTGTACACAGTCCTGTGTGAGGCCCATCCAGGAAACAGGCGCCGAGCAGTGCAGTGACAGGCCAAGCCCACGCAGCAAAGGGCACGCGGGGAAGGAACCGAATCCAACCCGAGGCACCGAAGCCTGTGTCCCTGCTCCAAGCTGGGACAGTGGCAGCGGCCATCGCTGGGCCGTGCCATCGAGGTAGGGTCTCCTCCCCGCCTGCAAGCTGGCTTGTGATGACTCTGAAATAAGACAGTGTGCTAAGCACCCGGCACCTGCCGGCTCCCTGCTTAGTTCCAGGAGAGAAAGAAAAGACACCCCCACCCAGACCAGCCCAGGACACCCGATCCCGCCCCCACTCTTTGTGTGTCACTGACCCCTTCTCCGTGTCCAGGGAGGGCTCCCAGGAAGGAACGTTTGTCCAGAGCTTCAGCTTCCCGGGGCAGGACCGAGCCCTGGGAGCCCTTCTGCAGCCCTGTTTTCTCAAAACCCAACCTGCTGCTCTGCCCAGGCCTTGCTGGGCATCAGCTGTGCGGGGAAGCGGGAATCCGACCCCTGGCGCTGGGCCTGGTCTCCATGGCAGCCGCGGATTTATTACAGGGGCCTCCACCCAGCTTGGCGGACTTAGGACTTGAAACCGGGAGGAAGGAAACCAAGAAAGCAGTCCTGGGAGCAGGGAGCTCAGGGGTGCAGCGGAGG